GGAAGGGAGAGAGAGAAGGAGAAAAGAAGGAAGGAAGGAAGGAAGGAAGGAAGGAAGGAAGGAGGGAGGGAGGGAGGGAAGGAAGGAAGGAATCAAGATTATTCCTCAAATGTCAAACAACACCTGTTCCATACCCAGGTTGCTTTTCCCTCTTAGTTCAACTTTACCTTCAAGTTTGTTGGCTGGGTAGTTTTGGGTTGAGTGCCAGCCTTCAAGGTGTTTCCATTTTGCCATTCTATGTTTATAAGGGTTTTTAATATAGACCCTCAAGTGGGCAACACTGCACACTGGGATTTTCTTTCACTAGCTGCTTATAATCAAAGAATGTAAACTAGGAAAGGTAGGAAGCTCTCGTCAGCAGACAGTACTTATGTGATTTATCTATTTAAGAAGCAGGACAAGTACATGGCATAAAGTCAAGGATGGGGTAAGAGGTAAATGAAATGAAAGCTTTGATATAGAAAAATTATCTGGGATTTCAAATAGATGGATATAAGAAGTAGTAAAATCAGGTATTAGAAAAGGAGGAAATAAAGAAATAAACAATAAGTGTCATCAATCAGAAAACATTAATGTAAAAATTAAGAAAACATGTATGAACAACTAAATTCATTTGTGGACTAAAGTAGAAAGTGTTAGATTTTCTGAGAAGTTTTTATTCCTATAAGGAGGATTTCAAGCATATACTATTCCTGCTTATATGATGTCAAATTAGGTCATTTTAGTGAATCCACCACGAAACACTAGTTAGACATTGCATACATACCCTGGTTGTATGGTTCACAGCTTTATGCATTGTTGATTTGTTGCTATTGCTTTATTTTCTGCATATCAAAGTTGCTTTGGTAATACGCATCATCTCCAAGACAACCAAGTGAACCAACTCCAAGAAACTATTTGGAGTTAAAAATCTGGAGGAGTAAAGGCGTTCACCTGCCCATTCCATATGAGACAGAAATCAGGAGCTGAGGCTATGGGGTGCCTTTTAAACCAAACTAAACTTCTTCTATCCGCCCTTGTGCACATTACATAACGCTCTGCCTCAGGTCTCTCCTGCTCAAAATGGGGATGATAATGTTTCCTTCCCTAGTGTTATTTTAAGGAGGAAGTCAGGTAACATATGTCAACTTCGTAGGACAAGGCTGCAGTGCAGAAGTGCGTGCAGGGTGACCACGTGCATGCGGCATTGCAGCAGGGTTAGACCCCATCCGGAGATGGAAAGGAAGCTTCAGCCAAACAAACCATAACATGAGAGGCATCCAGAGCCTTGTGATCTAAAGCCCAGAACCCCAAACACAAAATTTCATCATAAAATATTGTAATTTAAGTCTCCTCAAAGACTTCTAATTCCTTCATTTAATTGATGAAGTGGCCGAGGTTTAGAGAAGGCTGGTGGCTTTCCCGGGTGCAGCCATAGGGGACACACTAGGTTTTCCAGCTTTTGATGTGGGTTGTTTTACACCAAATGTACACAACCATGGTGATATGGTTTGGCTGTGTCCCCACCCAAGTCTCCTCTCGAATTGTAGTTCCCATAATCCCCACATGTCATGGGATGGACCTGGTGGGAGGTAATTGAATCATTACCCCATGCTGTTCTCATGTTAGTGAGTAAATTCTCATGATATCTGGTGGTTTTATTAGGGGCTTTTCCCCCTTTGCTCAGCACTTCTCCTTCCTGTGAAAAAGATGCCTTTCTTCGGCTTTGCCTTCCGCCATGATTGTTAAGTTTCCTGAGGCCTCCCCAGCCATGCAGAACTGTGAGTCAACGAAACCTCCTTTCTTTATAAATTATCAGGTATTTCTTCACGGCAGTGCGAGAATGAACTAATACACGTGGCATGATTTTTCATGTCATAACTAGTAATAGTGTAGGGACAAATGACTTTTGCTTTCTTTTTAATAAAATTGTTGGTAATATGTACAGAAGTGGGAGGAGTAAATGCCTGTGTCTTCCTGATTGATTATAAAATTCTTTCCAACTAGCTCGTGCAAGTGGTCAACAACTGAGGCCAAAATGTATTGCTTTATAGAGATTTAGCAGACTTATATTAATGATCCAATTTCCTTGAATGGGGTGAACTTGTTAACTTGCGTATTTAGAAAAACTATAATCAAATATTGAAAATACTGTCATAGGATATAGAAATTAACCCATAGAACCTAGAACATGTTCTGAACATAGTAGATCCTTAACATATATCCATTACATTGAATTGAATTAGACGTAGTCTGTATCTGTCCAGAGGCTGAAAGTAAGAACAACAGGTGCCTATTATAAAACTGAATAATATTCAAACCCTTGACACAATCCAACAATGGAATGAGTTGCCTTGTTGAGTTGTAAGCTATCCATTCCTGGAAATATTCAAGAAGCAATAAAAAGGCTTCTTTTTAGGGGTAGGTGGCACGGGGCAGAAAGGCTTCTGCAGTGCACTCTGGAGTTTAGTGTAACGGACACAATCCTAGCTTTCTTTAGTGGCAGTGGATCTCGAAATTCTCAGAGCTACACATCAGAAACAATAATAGTCACTATATTAAATTGCTCATACTGAGATTTCATTTTTAAAGTAAATATATTATAATACTTTTCATACCATGTGTCAGAGACTCAATATAAGCGTGGATTCTGCAACTAAAAGGTGGACTTCTAAAAAGCTGGGTCATGTTCTACCATTTGCATATCACCACTGCCTCACACAGTGTATTGCACATAGTAGGTACTTCATACAATGATTTTATATACGAACAAAAGAACAAAAAAGTGTCAGATTTTTAGCTGAGTTTATGAGAATTTAGAAGATGTTTTGAAATACATTTTTAGCTTTTACAAAACTAAATTTGTGCTATGAGATTAGTTTTTTCTTAAGGTTGAATTTATGACACTTCTGTGTGTAATGGCAGACCATTCAAACATTGGATGGTTAGCTGTGTTTTCAATAGCAGAGGACATGCGGTGATATGACCACACATAAAATGCAGCAGGATTGCAAAGATATTGCCCTTCTCAAAAGTATCAAAATGTACATTGTCTTGAATCAAGAAATTCTACTGTGAATTTATCTTAAGAAAATCATTAACAGTGTAAAAGGTTTTAGGTGAAGAATGGTTATTAAAACCGTGTTTATAAGGTAAAAGTTTAAAAATCCAACTTATGAAATTACAATAGAGAATTGATGAAGTATATTACAGTATATCCATAATACTGTAGAATTGTGTATATCCATATAATCCATTATTCCATAATCCATTATTATGTAGATCCATAATAATAGTAGAATGCTAGACAAGGTAACAGAACAAAATAAGGTAACAGAAAAGTAGTTCTTCAGGCTCGGTGCAGTGGTTCACACCTGTAATCCCAGCATTTTGGGAAACCAAGGTGGGCGGATCACTTGAGGTCAGGAGTTCGAGACCAGAGTAGAAAAATAGAAAAATTAGCCAGATGTGGTGGCATGTGCCAGTTACCCTAGCTACTTGGAAGGCTGAGGCAGGAGAATACCTTGAACCCGGAAGGCAGAGGTTGTGGTGAGCCAAGATTGTGCCACTGCACTCCAGCCTGGGTGACAGAGCCAGACTCCCCCCACCTCCCCCCAAAAAAGTAGTTTTTCTTACAGAAAGATACATGTGATACATAAAGGGAAAAAGGAGTAAAGAACAAATGGTAGTTTGACTCACATTAATTTAAAATCTTATTGAAGACTGTCAAAGAAATCAGTCTTGAATTTTAAATCAACATACTAATGCTGGTTGTCACTGAATTTTTGAATTTCCAGTGCTTTAAAAAATTATATTATCTATTATTCTAATATTCCAATTTTTCTACAATGGACATACGCTAATTATGTAAAGAAAATAGAAGTTTAAAAACTTGGTCTCTCTGGCAGTTGGATGTTAATGCAAAGAATGACATTGAGAGGATAAGTTGCTAAAGATACTGACACCAAAAGTAAGAGAGTACAGAGATGATGCCTTGAAAAGGATAATTTTTGAACCATTAAAAATTAGTTGTGTAGCAAATAGAGGACATTGGGTCCAACAGATTGGTTTATTTCTCAGTCTTGCTGGAAATTAAATTTGTAGCGTTTCTCAATTCCACCCACTCTTAATTGGAAGAGAAAGTGAAGGCCACAGAAGCTGAGAGTCTGCCTCAACGTCCCCGGCAGTCAGGGCTGCCCAGACCTCGAACCTACACGTGGTCAGCCTCAACGTCCCCGGCAGTCAGGGCTGCCCAGACCTCGAACCTACACGTGGTCAGCCTCAACGTCCCCGGCAGTCAGGGCTGCCCAGACCTCGAACCTACACGTGGTCAGTCAATGCCACTCTTTCATGCAGCTGAAAATTTACACAATTACGTCCAAGATAGATTTCAAATGATTCCCAAAGATGTGTGTCCATGGAAAAAGGAAACTACATCCTCAAAATGGGTCTTTGATTGGAGGTAAGCTCTGAAGTCCGTGCACCTCTGGCTACCCGTCCGACCTCCCTCTGCCTAGGTTTCCTCATGTCTAAAAGGGATGGTGGCAACTTTCTTACAGGGTACTCGAGGGCTTAAAGAGAGCCAGCCATGTCTACAATGTGGCCTCACTCAGGCTCAAGTGAAAGAGTAGGAGTGGAAGGACTTTGAAATTCAGAAAACACCACGTAAGTATAACAAGAGAAGAATTAGGAAATTAAACATAACTATATTTTTTGGATCAAGTTCTCTGCTTGGTTCAGTTCATTTATGAAATATTTAGATTATAGGCAATGCTCTCCTCAGTATAAGGGTATAAGAAAAAGTAATAGTTGATGTATGAATTTAACAAGTATATGTAATTGACTAGACAAGGGCATACAACAGAAGCATGTAAGCATTAAAAACAGCAAGAAATAACTGGTACAAAAGAACCCAATTGCCCGAATTCTATATCAGTCATTGCCTTGTGAGCTCTGTTTGTTTTCAGGTACCTCCTTTACATTCCTAATACAGTGGTAAAGTCCCATTGCAGTTCACATACCACACGCTGTGATTCCTCAAATGTCGATGTGGATTGGACAAAGGTCCAGGCAACAGCCGCACACACCTCGTCCTTGGCTACAGCCTTCGCATGACCCGCCCTGCATGTAAGAGAGGAGGAAGAGACGGTAAATGGAACTGAGACTCTTTTCTCTTGAGTTAATGGGAATGGATAGTTTCCCTACATCTTGGGCTAGTCTCATTAAAGTATTGAAGGCCCTACACACACACAGAGCCACACTCGCTAAAATTTATCTAAGGAATGGCCTTAGATAAATTAGATACACTCCTACTGTTTTTCCTCAAAGTTGTAATTTTTTTTTTTTTTTGCTTTGAGATGGAGTCTTGCTGTGTCACCAGGCTGGAGTCACGGCATCTTGGTTCACTGGAACTTCTGCCTCCCGGATTCAAGCGATTCTCCTGCCTCAGTCTCCCGAGTAGCTGGGACTATGGGCATGGGCCAGCATACCCCGCTAATTTTTTGTATTTTAGTGGAGATGGGGTTTCACCATGTGCCATGTTGGCCAGGGGCCAGGGTGGTCTTGATCTCCTGACCTCATGACCTGCCCACCTCAGCCTCCCAAAGTACTAGGATTACAGACAACAGCCACCGCACCCGGCCAAATTTGTACTTCTTTTAAAATAAAGGTCTGTCCTTTAATAAAAATGAAAGAACAAGTTCAGTTGTGTGAAACTTGAGAGAGTCCCTAAGTCTCCATCCTCCCTACAAAGACTCCTAACCCAGGGAGATGAGCTGGAGGTGAGCTCCAGGCCCAAAAGGCTGCTTGTCAGGCAGTGATTGAGGTTGCAAGAGAAGGTTCTGGACTTAGGGTTGCACCGCGAATTGCATTATGGCAACGTATGCAAGTTCAATAAGGACCTCAAACACAGCTTGCCTATCTAAGGCCGTATCAGGACTAATGCCACAATGAAAACCAATAGGTGTTTAAAAAATAGAAGTAAAGAACCATGTGCAGACCAGGAAGTTTCCCGTATTTCCTATTTTCTAGGTTCACATGGAAAACTGGGGTGGTGGAAGAAAAGGACAATAATTCCTTTGGAACATTAATTCAACTTTTTCTACCCACTAACCATATTCGTTCCAATTTTAGCAGTTCTGTGGGAGGAGAAATGAAACATGAAATTCTTCTATGCTTTCAACTTTGCATATTTCTTTACCTCTACCTGGAATGCCCTCCCCTTTCTGGGTCTTCCCAATCCTGCCTAGAAGCCATACTTTATTTTGTGACACGTTCCTGATGAGAGAGAAGCAGGGATCTTCATGGTAAGAACAGCACACATGTCAACCACTCCCATTACCGACTATCTAGCTGAGAAGCTACACGCTAGGTCAGACATTGCAGGTTCAGTATCTCTCTTAATCCTCAAAGTTGGCATTATTATTTCCCTGCACGTCGGTTCAAGATGCTGCCTAACTCCTGGAGACACAGAGCTGGAGCTCCCCTAGCAGGGATTCAAAACCAGCTCTTCCCAACTCAAGGGTGCTTTCTGCTGCTCCAGGCTGACCTCCAGTTTCTCAGGCCCTCCAATACTCCAATTCTTTGTTCTTTCTTCATTCTCCTTCTTCTTATTCTTCAAGATGGACTCTCACTCTGTCACCCAGGCTGGAGTGCAGTGGTGTGATCTCATCTCACTGCAACTTCTGCCTCCCAGATTCGAGTGATACTCCTGCCTCAGCCTCAAGAGTAGCTGGGACTACAGGCACATGCCACCACATCTGGCTAATTTTTGTATTTTTAGTAGAGATGGGGTTTCACCATGTTGGTCAGGCTGGTCTCGAACTCCTGACCTCGTGATCCACCCGCCTCGACCTCCCAAAGTGCTGGGATTACAGGTGTGGGATTACTGTGCCTGGCCTGTTCTTCATTCTTCTAAAAGGAAACATTTAGCATTTGTGACATGCTTTTGCTCACACACAGAAACTTTCTCTTTTGCGGATAGAATTGATGACTCTCCCAGGACAATGTCATTCATTACTAAAATGTGGAGAGCATCTTAGATCATTTAAAATCAGATGAAATATATGTACGCTTTTAAAAGAAGTAATGCAGATATCAAGTTTCCAATGATTTCTAACAAATTGAGAAAAATAAAACATAGAACCCATTAGAAAACTTTTATGAGAATGTCTGGTCTTGGGATTTTACTTTACGACTGAAAATGACAATAAATTTAGTTTCTACTCGGGTTAAAGTGTGCTTGCCTATTGTGAGTCAAGAATAAATGGTCTAATGGGTTTAAGTGGCCCCACATAGTTTGCTACACTTGGGCACAGCAGGCGAGATCATCTGTGGCCAAGAGTGCCAGCAACACATCTACCTAAAGTGCCAGGCATTGGCTTTGGAGAACTACGCCAGGCCATGGCAGGCTTCCCTCCCCACCCACCTGCACTTGGAAGGCCACCTGCAGAAGGCGGGAAGGGTGCACAAAATCCCGAAGGCAGGGAGTGGAAGGGACTTAGTGTCAAAGCAATGTCGCTAAGTTCTATTTCCCATTCTGTTAGCATCACCTAAGAGAGGGAGACACAGATACACACACACACACACACACACACACACACACACAGACACACACACAGACACACAGATTTCATCTAAAATTGCCATTGCTTTGAGGCCGAGGCGGGCGGATCACCTGAGGTCGGGAGTTCAAGACCAGCCTGACCAACATGGAGAAACCCCGTCTCTGCTAAAAATGGAAAATTAGCCAGGCGTGGTGGTGATGTCTGTAATCCCAGATACTCCGGATGCTGAGGCAGGAGAATCACTTGAATCTGGGAGGCAGAGGTTGCAGTGAGCGGAGATTGTGCCTTTGCACTCCAACCTGGGCAACAAGAGCGAAACTCCATCTAAAAAAAAGAAGAAGAGAAACAAAAAAACAAAAAAAATCCTTTTTAAAAATTCAGATAATCCTCAAGTAGCTTATAAGACTTTAGGTATTAAATTTTTAAGTGTTGAAAAAACTGACTATACAAAGTTATTTAACGTCAGGACCATCATCTTTTTAACATTTTGTTAAGCATCACCAGCATTCTGGTGCAAAATTCTGGACGTAAGACCTGTTCAAATACTCCAAAGTAAGTGATTTACAGAAAATTAACTAGCATGAGTCAGTCCCAGTCTTTTTTAAAAAATAAATCATTGAAAAAATATAAATACTGTGTTTACTGAAGATGGGCAAGTGGCAATTTCAGGAGCACAGAGTGACTTTCTCATTTGCAAAATGAGGATAATGGATTAGATCATCTTTAAGAGTCTCCTTTTGACCTCTGAAATCCAGCTTTATTTCTCAGTAAGAGCTTGGTCTTTTAAATTCATATGGATATTCTAGTTAATTAATAGTTATTTCACATAGTCTTTTAGATAAAGTTGTAGTTATTTCTGTGTGGATATCACCACATTTTTGGCAGAAGAGAAGCACTCGCCTTTCCATGGAAATTGTAATAGCAATGAAACTCAAACTCTATTAAGCCCGACTAACTCTACAGCTCAGTCTGAAATTTGGAATTTAACCTACTGGAGATTTAAATAGAGTAATAGCTAAACACAAGGGCTGACATTAGGAACTCTCTGGTGGGGTACACAGATCATTCTAGAATATTTACTTGCCCCCTTTTTTGGCTTCTTCAAACAGACATCAGATTTATCCCTAGATAGATCATCTGGTCTCATTTGCCGACACCCTATAGTTCATTTCTAGAGACAGGGAAGATATATTTATAATGACCTAAACACACAGACTATGTGCTAAGTACTAAATATGAATTGTCATTTAATTCTCACGACCAGGTAGATACATGACAACATCAGTTTCACAGACCACAGAAATGAGGCCCTGGGAAGGTACGTCACTGGCCTAACATCACCTAGTTTGTCAATAGTAGGGTTTGATTGGAATCCTGACCATCTAATTTCTCAGCAAGCACTCTCAAATACCACACTCAAACCTCAATGCAATTAAAATGAACTTTTAAAAAATTAGACCATCATATGCCTAGACAGAGCAAAGTATTGGGAAGAATTGAGCGAAGTGTTTCTCATTATCTGGGTCCTCCACACCCATGAGAAGAGCAGGGCGTGCACCAGCCTTGTGTGCAGTTTACCTGGAAATTTGCCATAAATGTAAAATACACACAAGATTTGATCACAGCATGAAAACAATATAAAACGTCTCATTAATCATTACGTATGGATTGCTTGTTGATATTATAATATTTAGGTTAGATAGCTATATTATTAAAATTAATTCCATCTGGTTCTTTAAATTACGTTTAACATTTACTGGAAAATGTAATATCACATATGTAATTCTTCCACTTGCATTATATTGATACTAGACAGTGCTGATCTAGACTATCAGTTACCAGGTTAATTTTACAATGAGTTACACTTTGGATTTTTATCGGACTAGAGCCACATACACATGTTCAGCTTGAACACCTCCTTGCTAGAGAACAATATAACCCATTCAGTTCAGTCTCAGGAATGCCAGGCTTATATTCTTCGATAGCTTGTTAACTCAAAGCTACTTAATAATAAAAGTTATTTTCTCCAAGATAATTATCGTTTTAAAAATGTTCTACCCTTCAATGTAAGCCACAGGCTTGCATATTAAGTAGCTTTTCTCCAGGCTTCTGTGGCTCATGATGTCAGCGGTAGGTCAAGATTCCTTATCACCAAACAGAGCCCGTGATGACACTTGTCTGGGCAGACAGAAATTTCCGCTGACGGCCGAGTAAGACTGAAGACCACAGAGGGTGATGCCTGTCTCTTAACCCTGAGAAAATCCCAATAGGTGGTTCTGTCTGGCTAAGGGGGAACTGTCCTCTATTAATCACACTGCCATATACTTTGAAGCTCTATTGCATGCTGGCCAGAAAGCTTTATTTAAATGCACTCAAGCTTCCTTATTTACCATTTTTAGGCTTTTACTATTTTACCCCATACTTTAAGCATGGTAGTAGTATAGTGGTTCATACTCTTAATTAAAAACAATTTTTAATTAGCTGATTATCATTTTTTCAGGCCTGTCGAGTTTCATACAGTGAGCTAATTTTTACAAATATCTTAAAGAAAAGTTG